CCAGCAACAGCCGCCAGCGTCCTTAGCGACCTGGGCAGGAGCCGCCTCCGCCCCTGAGCCAGGCCCCGTGATTGGCCAGACTCCCGGGCTCCAAGCCCCGCCCCGCCCCGCCCCGCCTCCGTGCGGGGTTCCCGGGGAGACAGCCTGTGGCTCGCACCGAGCTGCCCCGCTGGGGAAACGCAGCCTCGGCGGTAAGGATGCTCCGTCCGTTCTCTCCGGGGAAAGGGCTCAGGTCTGACCGGCAGGTTCTGGGAAGAGAGGGCACCGACAATCCTAAGTTCTGGTCTTTAAAGTTTCCAGACAGCTTCAGAGGTTGCAGGTCCCGCGGAGTTGGCTGTCCCTAGAGAGCCATCCTAGGTCTGACCCCACACCAAGTGAAGCTGGGGTCCTGGGAAGCACGCTGGTCTAGCTATCAGACCCCAGCCCTGGGAACAGACATGCTCTCACTGTCTGTGACCTTGGTCAAATAACACACCCTCTCCGGCCTCGCTTTTCTAGTCTGTAATGTAAGCATTTGGATTAGAATGATTTCTAAAGGCCTTGCCCTGTCTGAGAGGCTCTGAAAGGGACTAGTCAGCCTGGGGCCGGGTTTACAGAACTAAGTTCCCCCTTGCATCAGACCTGTTTAAACACCCAGTGCCTATCTAGTGTAGGATCTCAATTTCAGATTCATTGGCTTGTTGCAAAACCAGATCAGCCATGACAAAAAATCAAATAATAAAATAATAGACTAAATCCCCTCTTTCCTATGTATGGTGCTTCTTCAGCTGCATTATCTCATTGGGTTCACCTTGATTCCCTAGAGTAGAACTGGAATTAGCCAGGTTTTATAAAGGGGGTAGCAGAGCCAAATATAAGATCTTCATAGGTCCCACTAAAGTCCAGGTTACCACTCTGACCTCACAAGAATGCCACCTGATGATATCAGGAAAGTAGAGTCACCAAATGGCTCAGTAGACCAATTGTGCGGACCTCTTAGGAGGGAGTCCCAACTTTGCTAGTTACTGGTTGTGTGATATTGAGTTAGTTATATGCCTGGATTATGACTGTTCCCTCAACTGCAAAACCAGAATGATAAAAGTAATTAAGAGTGTTTTACTCACATCTTTATGGGGGTTTTAGGTGAGATAATACAATTAAAGCACTTGACCCACTATTCTAATTATTGTTGTTATTGGAAAGGGTGCTATAATTTCCTACTGGAAAGTCAAGAGGAGAGATTTACTTATTTCCCACCCCCAGGAATTTAAGGGATTTTGAGAAGAATCATGTCTTCAGTGTGGAAGACTCCCCGTGGATCAGATGCAATGCCTGAAATGGTGGTGAAAATCATCGGAAGTAAACACTTTCGGTACCTCCTGGAGAAGCCCAAGATGTAAGTTTACTGTTTGAAAAATATCTGTTTTGCCTGGATGATAATTAAATTCTGTTTTTTTTTTAATCTAGAAATTTACATTTTAACAATGCCGTTCATGGAAAATTAAGTCATTAAGAAGTAACAGTAAAAGTAAAATCGTGTTGATAACTTCTATGCACACTGTTTTCCTAATATTTTTCATCTTTATAATTCCCCATATTCCTTAATTACTTGGGCTGATTTTCCAAATAGATGGGAAATATAAGCATTTAGACATTTATAAATATTAATGGAGTACTGCTGCTTCTCTTCATCAGGTTTGTAATCTACCACATATAGTAATTGGGGGGAGGTCGTTAGTCAATTTGCTATGAATTAAAGGAGTGTGGTTAATAATAAATTATAAATTGTAAGATTTCACTTCTTCTTATTCTATACTCCTCCAAGCAGGGACTTCTCAGAGCATAACTAAGGTCTTTCTTCCCTTCCAAGGTCATCACAGTCACAGTTAAGGGAGTATACTCATATATTTCTAAAATTAACTAGACGTTTGGCACAGAACAGTATGACTAGCTCTTCCTTCTGGAGCTGTGGTGGTTCACCAGAGAAAAAGAAAGTACTAGACCCACCTTTTATCTTGTAGTCACTCCATAAACAGTAGCTAGTCAATAATTGCCTTTCCCTACTAAGATGATTTCTAGTCCTTTCCTCTATTTCAGAAACCCATAGACCAAACAAGTAGATAAACAGAAAAAAGATCCGTCCTTGCTCAACATAGGTGCAGAAAGCAGTGGACACAAAATCTGGCTATCATCAGAATCACCTGGAGAAGCCTTTAAAGTAAAGATTTGGGGTCCAACCCAAGATCTAATGAATCAGAATCTCTAAAGATAGGACCCTCTTATGGAGCATAGGCTTTAGAAAGGACCATCGGGTCCACTGTTGTGGAGTATAGGCTTTAGAAGGGCAAATTGGTTTTACCTCCCCACCATCAGTATTGTCAGCCCTAAGAGATTCCAAAGTGAGTGCTATAATCAGTTACTAATGTCTACCCTAGCACAAGAAGTGAGCTTTGCAGAACTTCAGTTGGGATCCCTACAGAGCTGAGAGATGAGACTGAATCTTGGCTCTGTTCCTTGCTGGCCTTTTGACATTGAGAAAGTTAAATAGCTCTGGCCTCAGATTCTACATCTATCAAGTGGAGGGAAAAACACATTTATCTAGTAGGGTTGTTGTGAGGAGCCAATGAGAAAAATATGCAAAACACCTTTTCAGCTCCTAATAGTATATTCAACATATTTAATAAATGGTTCTGCTATTATCATTGAAGCAGACCTTTCCATGGATACAAGACATTTAATGAAAAAATCAAATCTTTTTCTCTGAAATGTTTCCATTCCTTTTAAACCCTATGCCTAGGAGGCGCATTACCTTTGTTTTGTATGTGAGGAAACTGAGACACTGGGGTTATTGTAAGATCTCCTGTCAAAAGCCAGTTATTGTCAAGAAAAGTAAATAAGATCAGTGTGTACTCCCTATTGAGTTCTCCTACCCAGAAAGTAATATTACTACTCTACTAATTCCATTCCTGAGGTTATTTGTTTGGCTCCTTTTATCCCAAACTCCTTCCTTTTTCCAGGAGTCTAATATGTTCCTAAACAGGTGAGTAGGGGAAAGGTACTTGTCCTTTTAAATAGGAAAAAATTCCCTTTGTCTTACAAGAAGGTGCTTTTCCTTTTCCTGTTTATTCTTTAAACTCAGAATCTCTGTCTCCAAATTTCATCTTTTTATAAAGACACTAGTCAATTGGATTAGAGATCCATTCTACTCTAGCATGACATCATCTTAACTAATTACATCTGCCATTGCCCTATTTCCAAATAAAGTCACACACATTCTAAAGATGCTGAGAGTTAAGACTTCAACATATAAATTCTGGGAAGTATACAACTCAACCCTTAACAACCCAGTCTTCAATTTTACAGGTGAGATGAGACAACTGAGGCCTTGATGGGCTTAAAGTGAGGTCAGTTATTAAGAACTTAGATGGGAATTGAGTTCCCTCCCTCTTTCTGTAATTTAGCCAGTAAAATTATTGACAGGTGAAAGTAAAATAATACCTACTTACCTATTTTTTACAAAGGAGACCAATTTATAGGCTTCAAAGAGTGAAACAGTGTCCCCTCGTTGGTGTCATCATCACTTTCCTCCTAGATCACTACACCAGCATTTCAGTGCAGCTCCTTCCCTCTACCCTTCTCCTTCTCTAATCCAGTCTCTAAAGCCTTGCTCCTCAAAGTGTAGTCCATGAGCCACCTCCATCAACCTCACCTGGGACCTTCTTAGAAACAAAGACTCTCAGGCCCCTCTTCAGACATACTAAGGCAGGTGACTCCTACACAACATTACAGTGAAGCCCAATTCTTAAGTACTGCCAGTATCATCTTTCTTAAATATAAGTCTAACCAGGTGTTATCACATCAGCCCCAGATTTGCCTGCCCCCTCCCCCTATAGACTCCCATAACCCCCTTAGGGATTTGTGACACTCTATGGCAATTTCCTATGCATTTCTATCTCCCCCATTTAACTGTAACTTCTATGTGCACAACTGTACCCTTAGTACTGAGTACAAAGTCTTGTACATATTGAAAGCCTGATAAACAAATTAGAGCACAATAAACACCAAGAAAAGTAAATATCTAGAAAGGCAATACTTAGTTGCTTTAAATCCAAGTCTAAAGACCCATGTTGCTAAAATAGCATACAGATGTTACTATGGATCCCTGATGCATAATCTTTGATAACTCATCAAGAAGATATGCCAGGTAACAGGAGGACAATATTCTCCTTTTCTAGGAGGAGAAAAAAGTAGGGAATAGAACCACAGAGCTTAAGACTGTAAACAGTCCCTAGCAAAATTGCAGGTCAAAGAATTAAATATATTAGTTGTGAAAACAAAACACAAAAGTTGTGGTTACTAAGGGTTGGTACATGTTGACTAAAAACAGATTATGTCAACCTGGTCTCATTCTCTTTATTGCAGTCCAAATGAAAGGAATGATGAAGACATAGTGTTTGTTAATTTCAGTGAGTCATTAAGCATACCTCTATCACAAAGACTTGAAATAAGGCAGATAATTCTGGATGGATAGTATTAAGATAGGTGACGTACCAACATGGTGATTGAACAATTGATGTAAACACTACTCGTTGGAGTTAAGGAGGTGGAGAGGATTTCTGTGTGACCCTGTTCTTAGTCAACATTCTTTAATCCACTATTGAAGGGAGACTGACAAATCACTTCAGTAAACATGTAGGTAGTAGAATGCTGGGAAGCCTTGGCAGGAACATGAGCTGAAACAAGATGAAATCAACAGAGATATATGCAAAGTCTGTCTTTTGTTAAGAGTACATGTAAATGATTATATGGAATAAATATTTGGATTTTTCTTGATGTGAAATATTAGAAAATATATATATTGATCTCTGCTCCCAGTTGTTGGCATGAAGCTTTTACAATTTTCTAAGAGATAAGAGTACTAGGAGCATTTTTTCGTTCTAATGTTTGGTCTTTGACCCTGGTTCCTGACACAGAGTTCCTAAGTCCCCTGAAATTTCCTGGGTGATGGGATGTCTTTTGCTTTAATGAGGACACTCTCAGTGCATTCCTAGATAGCTTCTGGCTGGTCACCAGAAAGACCAGGCCATGATTAAAAGCTTGGAACTTTTAGCCCCACCCCATTCCCATTCTCCCAGAAGGGGAGAGGGGCTGGAGACTGAGTTAACGATTGATCATAATTATGAGATAAAGCCTCCATAAAAAATCCTGAAAGAATAGGAGGTTTAGAGAGCTTCCAGATTGCTGAACCTTCTCTGTGCTGGGAGGACAGTGTGCTTGGAGAGGTCATGGAAGTTCCATGACTCTTCCCACACACCTTGCCCTATGCATCTCTTCCATCTGACTGCGGCTGAGTTATATCGGTCTAAAATAAACCAGTGATCTAGTAAGTAAATGGTTTCCCCGAGTTCTATGAGCCACTCTAGCAAATTAATCAAACTGGAGGAGGGACTTAGGGGAACGGTGAGCTATTGCCCATCTGCCAGAGACACAGGTAATAACCTGGGCTTGGGATCGACATCAGGAGGAGGCGGGCAGGCTTGTAGGACCGAGCCCCTAACCTGTGGGGTCTGCAGTAACTCCATGTGGGTGCTGTCAGGATTGAATTGAATTGCTAGGACACGGAGCTGGGGTGGGAGAACTGCTCGGCGTGGGGAAAACCCCACACATTTCATGACCAAAAGCACGCAGTACTAAGAGAGAGGACAGGATAAAATGGGCTGTTTCCCCTTTACACTTGTGTCAGGGCTCGTCACTGGCAGAACGGGTCCAGACAGAGGAGTGCGGGAGGCCCACTGTACTCAGACCTGGACATGTCAGCTGTGGGGTAGCATGCTTAGTTCTGGATGTCACATTTTAGGAGGAACCCTGGCACCCTAAAGGTGTGGACACTGAAGGTGTGGCATTATAGATGATCCAGGGTGTGAAATGTGGCCTAAGGGAACATTTATTGAATCTGGGGATTGAGTTGTTAACTAAAAGAGGAATTGGGTTTATTTCAAGAAAGTCATGCCCAGCCAGGTGTGGCTCAGCGGTTGAGCATCGACCTAGGCTCCAGGTGATCAGGGTTCGATTCCTGGTCAGGGCACATGCCCGGGTTGCGGGCTCGATCCCCAGTCGGGGTCATGCAGGAGGCAGCCGATCAATGACTCTCTCATCATTGGTGTTTCTATCCCTCTCTCCCTCTCCCTTCCTCTCTCTAAAATCAACAAAGATATATTTTTTAAAAAAGAAAGTCCTGTGAGTATGATACTTCCAGTGACTAAAATTGGCCTCTATAGTCCTTTCCAGTGCCAAGAATCAGTGACCCAAAGCACTTCATTCCATAGTTACATTGCTGTTGGTACAGCATTGTTAAGTACAGGGGAAGCTGACCACGAGATTTTATGGGGAAAGGTA